ATATATATATAATATATATATATATATATATATATATATATATATATATATAAATCTAGATAGTCAAAAGTTTATATATATAAATATTTAAAGATAGATAGTCAAAAGGTTTTGTGTCTCCTGTACTTTGTAACCACTAGGATCTGACTTCATCAAAACTTCAACTGGCAAGGAGTCTGTCAATGCCACTTACCCCGTTGCCATAGTAATGGTGCGGGCCATCCGTGACTACTGCTTAAGGACAGGCTATAAGGTAAACGACCCATTGAACCTCCAAATCACCTTCTTTTACATAAATCATGCAGCCTGGTGACTGATGCATTTGTTGTTCCTCAGGTGGGTTTCAAGCCCGCGGGAGGCATCCGTACGGCGCAGGAGTCCCTGGTGTGGCTGACCCTGATGAAGGAAGAGCTTGGAGACGAGTGGCTCAGTCCTCACCTTTTCCGACTGGGGGCGAGTAGCCTGTTAGCTGACATCGAACGGCAGGTAATTAAACCAACACAGTGTTTAACACTGTCAAAGCTGCTCTATTCTGGCTTCAGGTGTGATAAACTGATAATTACCACCCATTATGGATGGAAACAGACACTATTCAGGGAGTGCAGAGTCGTGACCCTGATCTGCTGTGGTGAATAGGATATAGATTAGCCCTTTTATTTATGTATTAGAATAAATGTAGCTCCTTTTGACAAAGCTTTTATCAGCTTAGATAGATTTGCTGAAGCTGAATTATTTTTTAAACTCTTTTTATTATTACAGATTTACCATTACGTGACTGGACGCTATCCTGCATATCATGAACTTCCTATGGCCTGAATCTGTGCAAAATCAGGGGAGATTTGTGCCAATGAAAACTGTTCAGATCAGCCAGTGATGTAGTGGAAAGACGTCATACCTGTTTATGTGGTCAATTATAAAGAAAAGTCACCCAAAAATGAAAATTATGGCATTTATTCAGTTGTTTCAAACCTGTAAAATTGTTATTTCTTTTGTTGAACACAAAATAAGATATTTTGAAGAATGTTGATAACCAAACAGTTGATGGTAGCCATTGACTTCCATTGTGTGGGGAAAAAAATATTATGGAAGCCAATGGGTACCGTCAACGCTACCAGAATTTCTTCAGAATATCTTTTTTTTTCAATGGAAGAAAGTAACTCATACAGGTTTGAAACAAGTAGAAGGTGAGTAAATGATGACAGAATTTTTATTTTTGGGTGAACTATCCCTTTAAATGAAGTCCAGTATCTATCATAAACTAAGAATATATTTTATTCTAAAGCAAAAACTTGAGATATGAATGTCTATTTCAAGTTATCTTGTATAATAATTCAAACCCAAGAACATTTCTGGATTTCTGGATGACATGGTGCAACCTGAATCATCAGAAGTAAAAGTGCTCACTTTACATCAGTGCAAAGGTCTCTTGCATCACTTTCTCATAGTTATGATTCCCAGCAGTTGTTCCTCAGACAAGCGTACAGATCTCGTAAGCTGCACCTGGGGTTACGCTATCACTGTCCGAGGCTGATGTTATTTGACTTCCGCTGAGCTAATTTCATTAATCAAGCGCTGGATGTCAGAAGTGTGTGTTTGGGATTAATTAAGAGGGGTTAAGAGAGTTTAAATGATCAGATAAAGCCGCGTGCCAGTTAGAGCTTCGTTTGAAGACAAAGAACTTTCTTTTTCTTCTCCCTCTTTCTTCTTTAATTAAGAGATCTCGGGCCGTGCCCTTGACTGGGATGGAGGATAAATGACTGAATTAATTGTGGAATGGGGAATGAGCCGAGAGGTGCGAGTGGAGAGAGAAGGAAACTTCTGTAAATTCTGTCCGAAAACTGGAGCACAAATAGATTTGTATTCACAGTGAAGAGATAAAAGCTATTCTTTCTATCTATCTATCTAGCTATCTCTCTATCTCTCTCTCTATCTATCTATCTATCTATCTATCTATCTATCTATCTATCTATCTATCTATCTATCTATCTATCTATCCTTTTGTCCATTCATCTACCCATCTGTCACTCTGTATATCTATCTATCATGCTGTCCGTTTATCTGTCTGTCCCATCTATCCTTCTGTCCATCCATTTGTCCATTCATCTATCCATCTGTCAATTGTTCTGTCTATCACTGTCTATCTACCTACCCCCCCACCTACCTCTCCATCCTTCTACCAATCTGTCCATTTTTATGTCTATCCCTCTGTTTGTATATCTGTCTATCATGCTGTCCATTTATCTGTCTGTCCTTCTGACCATATATTTATATCCTTCTGTCCTTTAGTCCATGCATTTATCTATCTATCCATCTGTCCATTTTTCTTTTTTTATCTCTATCTATCTATCTGTCTATCTGTCTATCTGTCTGTCTGTCTGTCTGTCTGTCTGTCTGTGTGTCTCTCTCTCTCTCTCTCTCTCTCTCTCTGTCTGTCTGTCTGTCTGTGTCTCAAATTCAAATGAGCTTTATTGGCATGACTTGCACAGTATTGCCAAAGCATTGTCCATTACATGAATAAGGAATAAACAATTATATAATACATAAAACAACAATAGACATGTAAAATAATTAAGTAAATAAGTATGTGTACTTTCTTTTTCTTTTTTTTTCCACAAACAAGAAAAATATTAAAGACATTGTTAAAAAAAAATACAAAAAAATTGCACAACAGTACATGTAAGAAATGCTCTTGCTTCAGTTTTGTCCATTGGCTGACAGTCTTAGTTTGTGACAGGCTGATACATATCTTGCTGCTGTTGTGATCATTTTGGAATCTTCCCCTAAAATGTGACTTAATTTTTCTGTATTTGGTAATGCCATAAAATGTGGTTTGATTTGTTGGAATTTGGGGAAATATGCAGCTCTAATGTTGTGATAGTAATCACAGTGCAGTAAGAAATGTTCCTCTGATTCCAGCTCTTTCTGTGAGCACAGTGAACACAGTCTGTCTCTCTCTCTCTCTCTCTCTCTCTCTCTCTCTCTCTCTCTCTCTCTCTATTTATCTATCTCACATGTTGATTGGCAGCTGTGTGTTGTGCCAGTGTTTCATCTTATGTGTGGTTTTTGAGGGTCAGTTGTTTTTGAATGTTTAAAGGGGTCATATGATGCTGCTAAAAAGAACATTATTTTGTGTATTTGGTGTAATGAAATGTGTTTATGCGGTTTAAAGTCTGCATTTGTGATCGGAGAAATGACAAACAACAAGTGCTACTCTACTGCCCAAAACTCGCGTTTGAAACATCAGTGGCAAATCCTTTAAATGAAAACGTACTTACGTGAGTCAGAACTGCCGGCATTGTAGTCAACTCTACCAGGATCAGTAAACAGTCCTCCATAAAATGTGCTGCACACATCTGGATATTTGGGGTAAACTGTTCTGGAACAGTGTGGTAAATTGTGTGGACCCCGGGCTGGACTCCGCTTTGTCCACGGTGAAAGTTGATGTATTCCCTCAGCGACCAGCACAGAAAAGCGCTAGGCATGACGAAGTGGATATCGTCCTCTTTTGGAAGACCAAACAAAGTAGTTTCGCTTTCACAACGAAGCACACAGCGTACATGGCTGCAGCGTCAACAATACTACAGCGAGAATAAAAGTTACGCTGCCTTTCTTTGCGTGAACATTTGGGCGGCGTTATGCAAATCTTCCCACATAGTGAGGTAGATATGTGGGGGCGTGTTAGAATGAGCCGTTTTAGGTAGGTGTGGCTGACTCTAAACTTTGATAAAGAATATCTCTTTGGATTTAAGACTTTAGTCTTTGCAACTTTACAGATCTTCTTTATGCACCAATAGCTTGTAACACTCCAAAGAGAAAGAAAAAATTGAAATCGCATCATATGACCCCTTTAATTATTTATTTTATGAGAATTACTATTATTGTGAATTTGTATGAGAGGTAATTTGTGATAAAATAAGTGTTTTAATCCTCTCTCTCTCTCTGTCTGTCTGTCTGTCTCTCTCTCTCTCTCTCTCTCTCTCTATCTGTCTGTCTGTCTGTCTCTCTCTCTCTCTCT